AAGTTCAAAAGACAAAAGGTAAAAAAAACAGATGGTCGAATGACAGAAGATCAAAAGACAGATGGTCGAAAGACACAATGTCGAAAGACAGAAGGTTGAAACACAGAAGGTGAAAAGACAGAAAATCGAAAGACAAAAGGTTGAAATACAGAAGGTCGAAAAACAGAAGGTCGAAAGAAAGAAGGTCAAAAGACAGAAGGTGGAAAGACAGAAGGTGGAAAGACAGAAGGTCGAAAGACAAAAGGTTGAAAGACGGAAGGTTGAAAGACTGAAGGTCTAAAGACACAATGTCGAAAGATAGAAGGGCGAAAGAGAGAAGATCGTAACACAGAAGGTAGAAAGATATAAGGGTCGAAAACAGAAGGTCAAAAGACAGAAGGTCGAAAGACAGAAGGTCGAAAGACAGAAGGTCGAAAGACAGAAGGTCGAAAGACAGAAGGTCGAAAGACAGAAGGTCGAAAGACAGAAGGTCGAAAGACAGAAGGTCGAAAGACAGAAGGTCGAAAGACAAAAGGTCGAAAGACAGAAGTTCGAAACACAGATGGTCGCAAGACAGAAGGTCGAAAGACAGAAGGTCGAAAGACAAAAGGTTGAAAGACAGAAGTTCGAAACACAGATGGTCGCAAGACAGAAGGTTGAACGACAGAAGGTCAAGCGACAGAAGGTCAAGCGACAGAAGGTCAAACAACAGAAGGTCAAACGACAGAAGGTCAAAGAACTTGCCAAAAAAGTCCGGAGAACTTGCTGAACAACTCTAGAGAACTTTGCGAAGAAGTCCGGAGAACTTGCTAAACAATTTTGAAGAACTTACCGAACAAGTCCAGAGAACTTGCTGAACAAATCTGGAGAACTTGCCGAAAAAGTCCACAGAAATTGCTGAACAACTCTGGAGAACTTGCCGATTAAGTTTGCAAAAGTTTCCGAAAAATTCCTGAGAGCTAGCTGAAAAACTCTGGAGATCTTGCTGAACAAACCCGAAGCACTTACTGGACAAGTCCGGAGAACTTGCTAAACAAATCTGGAGCACTTCCTGAACAAGCTCGGAACTTACCGAACAAGTCCGGAGAACTTGCTGGACAAGTCCAGATAACTTACTGAGTGAATCCGGAGAACTTGCTGAAAAAGTTCAGATCGTGCTGAACAAGTCCAGAAAACTTGTTGAACAAATCCGGAGAACTTGCTGAACAAGTCCGGAGAACTTGCTGAAAATGTTCAGAGATCTTGCTGAACAAGCCCGGAGATCTTACTGGACATGTTCGAAGAACTTTCTGAAAAAAATACGGAGAATGTGCTGAACAAGTCCGGAGAACTTTCTGAACAACTTCGAAGATCTTACCGAATAAGTCCGGAGAACTCACCGAAAAAGTCCACAGAACTTGCTGAACAACTCTGGAGAACTTGCCGAACAAGTTCGGAAAAATTGCCGAAATAGTCCTGAGAACTAGCTGAACAGCTCTGGATAACTTTCTGAACAAGTCCAAAGAACTAGCTGAAAATGTTCAGAGATCTTGCTGAACAAGCCCGAAACTTTCTGGACAAGTCCGGAAAACTTGCTGAACAAATCCGGAGAACGTGCTGAACAAGTCTAGCGAACTTGCTGAAAAAATCTGGAGATCTTTCTAAAGAAGCTCGAAGAACTTACCGAACAAGTCCGGAGAACTTGCTGGACAAGTCCAGAGGACTTACTGAGTGAATCCGGAGAACTTTCTGAAAAAGTTCAGAGATCGTGCTGAACAAGTCCAGAACCAGCCCAAGGTTGAAAGCCTCCCTAATAAAGATAAATAATAATAATAAGTCCAGAAGACTTTCTGAAAAAGTCCGGAGAAATTGTAGTATGAGATGAGTCCGGGAACTTGCTGAACATGTCCGAAGAACTTGCTGAACAACTCTCCAACCCGCCAGTGGTGGCGGGGGGGGGACACCCCTCACCATCCCTCTCCAAAGGGGGAGTTTGGTAAAGAGAGATGAAAAAACCGATTTGTACCTTCCTTAAAAGTTGTCCTAGCTCGCTATTCTAATATCTATATACAATCTTCACACTGCCGTACTCTAACGGAATTATCAACTCTATGATTTCATCTACTCCATCTATCGTATAAAAATTACCACTACAGTCTGTTATTTGAAATTAGCATCTTCAACTATGTAAAACTCTGGAGAACTTGCCGAACAAGTTCGGAAAAAATGCCGAAACAGTCCGGAGAACTTTCTGAACAAGCTCCAAGAACTTACCGATCAAGTCCGGAGAACTAGCTGAACAACTCCGGAGAACTTGCTGAATATATCCGGAGAACGTGCTGAACAAGTCGGAGAACTTGCTGAATAAGTCCGGAGAATTTTCTGAACAAATTCGAAGAACTTACCGAACAAGTTTGCTGGACAAGTCCAGAGAACTTACCAAAAAAGTCCGCAGAACTTGCCAAACAAGGTCGGAAAAATTTCCGAAAAAATCCGGAGAACTAGCTAAACAACTGTGGAGAACTTGCTGAACAAGTTTGGGGAACTTGTTGAACAAGTTCGGGAACTTGTTGAACAAGTTCGGGAACTTGTTGAACAAGTTCGGAGAACTTGTTGAACAAGTCCGGAGAACTTACTGAAAATGTTCAAAGATCTTGCTGAACAAGCCCGAAGCACTTACTGAACAAATCCGGAGAACTTGCTGAGCAAATCTGGAAAAGTGCTGAAAAAGTCCAGAGAACTTGCTGAACAAGTCCAGAGAACTTTCTGAACAAGCTTGAAGAACTTACCGAACAAGTCCGGAGAACTTGCTGGACAAGTTCAGAGAACTTACTGAGTGAATCCGGAGAACTTGCTGAAAATTGTTCAGAGAACATGCTGAAAAAGTCCGGAGAACTTACTAAACAAGTGCGAAGAGCTTTCCGAACAAGTCCAAAAAATTTGCTGAACATGTCCGGAAAACTTGCTGAACAAGTCTAGAGGACTTGCGAGATAAGTGTAGAGGGCTCGCGAGCAAAGTCTAGAGGACTTGCGATACAAGTCTATAGGACTTGCGGGACAATTAACTTGGGGGCCTCCCTTAGCTCAGGCGGTAAAAGGCGCAGCTACAAAGCAAGACCATGCTGGAGGTGGCTGGGTTCGATTCCCAGTCCGGTCTAGGAATTTTACGAGTTGGAAATTTTTTCGACTTCCCTGGGCATAGAAGTATGATTGGACTTGCCACACAATTATACCAATGCATAAATGGTACAGGCATCGAAAGCTCTCAATCAATAACTGTGGAAGTGCATCTAGAACACTAAGTTGAGAGCACGCTATAAGCTAATATGAGATATGCAATAAGCTTGGAATGCGAAGAAGAAGAAGCAGGGACAATGAACTTGTGGAACATGTTCAGCGTGTTTGCGAAATACGTCCAGTGAACTTATAGCACAAGACCAAAGGTTTTCCTCTGTGGATTTGACCCGCAAGTCGCCTGAACTTGTTTCACAAGATCTCTGGACTTGTTCCGCAATTCCTCTGGACTTGTCTTGCAAGTCCTCTGGACTTGTGTTGCAAGTCCTCTGGTCTTGTCGTGCAAGTCCTCTGAAATTGTCTTTCAAGTCCTCTGGACTTGTCTTGCACACTGAACTTGAACTTGTCTTGCAAGTCCTCTGGATTTGTCCTGCAATTCCTTTGGACTTGTCTCGCAAGTCTTCTTGACTTGTCTCGCAAGTCTTCTTGCCTTGTCACGCAAGTCTTCTTGACTTGTCTCGCAAGTCTTCTCAACCTGTCTCGCAAGTCTATAAGACTTGTCCCTTCAAATAAGTCTTCCAGACACGTGTTGCTCCTGAACTAGACTATAAAGAGCTTCTACAGTACTCTGGACTTACCTGCAGCTCCCATTGGGTTTATTCGTGATGCCCTACCTCGAGATTTTTGGCTTTCTTCAAAAGGACATCCTTGTCCTGTAGTTCACTGGAAAAGCTATTGGAGTCCTCAGTCGTTGATATCCTTTGAACTTGTGCCTCAAAATATTCAGGATTTATCTGAAATGAATGTGGCAAAAATATAAACGACACCTTAAGAATTCACACCTTGTACTTAAAATGGTCATAATTGAGCAATTAACCTGATTGCCCAGGAGCAATAAACTATTGGTCCTGAGCAAGCAGTTAATTGGTAATTTCATATTAAACTACGAGAGTTTTCTCTTCTTCTAGCGAACATTTATTAGGCTGCCAAAACCGTGTAGGCTCGTCAAAGAACGCATTGAGATTTTCAACGGTAATCTCAAACCGCTCTAGTAAACGTCAAATGTTCGACCTCAGCTCTTCGAACCCATTCAGCCACTAATGTGTGAGTGCTGTGCTTTCTAAGCAAATCCACCCTCTGCCAACCCACCCATTTGATCAACATTTACACCCGACGCATGTATTGGTACCATCAACCCACATTACTTTCCCATTGATGCATTGATCAGTGGATTCTACTCCACGCATTCTGTCACACGGGATGAAAAATCGAGTTTTCCAACCACTCGCAGAAGCAGAAAAAAACACTAGCAATCCCACCTGCGCCGAATCGCTCTCCTTCCGATCTCTGCTTCCTTCGCTTCGATTGACGAGCGACCAAAACAGAGAGCGTGAAGTGTGAAAAGCTCTCTCCCGATCGCCCGCCCGCCCCCTTACAGCGATGCAATCTAGCAATCCGAATGCGAATGAGAGAGAAACGACGAAGGAGAAAGTTGTAACGCACGCGGCAAGCGCCACATTCCAATGCACCCGAGTTGCATGCCGAAAATTTACGAACGAAAACATCCCCTTTCCGCTTTCCGTTCTTGAGTGAGAGAGTGAGTGGTCCGGTGGGTGGACCACTCACCTAGAACAGGGGGAGGAAAGCTTTCTCCGCTCTGCTGATTGATTATGTCCGACTGCGAGCGGAGGCTGATGGCGTGTGAAGTGAAGCTGCTGTGGATGATGAAGCTCAGGCCGCGAGAGATCCGTTCGACCGAGTTTAAGTCGGAGGACCGAGTGCAGTTGAGCTTTGTAACCCGATGTAGAACGACGTCTCCGGTTGATGTACTGCAGGACTGCGAAACGGGTCGGTCGGTTTACAGTCAGTCAGCCAGTCAGTCAGTTAGTCCCCGGGAAGTGCTTGAGAAGTTGTCTGATTCTTTGTTCGAAATTGTCCGAGGGAATTGTGAAATTGGTGACAAGTGATCCGCTGGAGAAAAAAAATTAAATAATTGGAGAACAGATTTACCGCATTGGGAAAAAAATTCGGCTGAGAAGAACAAGAAGAGCAACAACCGAGGATTCGTTCTGAAGTGGATGGAGGAAGAGTTTTTGTGAGAGTGCAAAGTTTTGAAAATTCCGTGGAACTGTGGTGAAAAATGGCAAATTTGATGATTTACAAAGTGGTCAAGTGTCGACTAAAAGCGATTTCCGAGCGGAAGATGGTTTGCGAAGAACCGAAGAGAGGATAAAGCTAGCGAAAGTTCCCGGATGATTCTGTGTGCGGAAAATTTAAGGGTTCTGGGCTCCAGCTAGAGAAAGGATTACGTGACAGCAATAGACTTGCTTTGCAGTAAATGTTCCTAGAAAAAGACGTGAAAATTATTTGGCATAAATCTAATCTTAAAGGTGATTATCGTGTTTGCAATCCTTGCTGGATAAAAATAAAAAAAAAAACGGGGAAGAGAGGAATCTGAAAATTTCATAATCTTCGACCTGAGGAAACATTGGAAATGGGAAACCAATACATTCGCACAAACGTGGAAATTGAGAAATTCCGAGGAAAACATATATTTATTAAAGAAAAAAAAAAGTGAATGTACCAGAGGAAAACTGTTCCCTAAATTTTTCACTAAAATTCAAAGGAGGAAAAGAGACGGAGCAAACCATCCAGTCAATATTCAAGGATATTACTTCACTGCCGGAGGAGGGCAACAGTAAAAGGCATGGAAAGTCGCGTGAGAAAAAAAAAACGCGAAAAACTGGTCGTTTCTTGTCAAGGATTTTTGTATCGATTTCTGGTGGCTCTGAATAAGAATGAGAATGAAAATTTCATGTGTCACACCGATGTGTGAGTGTTGGGGGGCCGCGTGAGTGACTGGCCGACTGAGCTTTCGTGCGTTCCCGCTCGGGAGTAGTCAGGGATCTCACCCATACCAACGAACGGACACGACGACGACGACGACGACGATCTGCTAGTACTATTACTATTACACTATACTACTCTGTTTTCATTGTGGCGATACTATCGGAAAATGTTCTGACGCTACGATGGCCCTACACTACACTGCTACTGCTGCTGTCAATCCCCCTGTTGTGGATTACTGATTCATAGGAAAATAAAAAAAAAAAAAACAAAAAAAAAAACGCTGAGAGAGCGCAGAGGAAACTGTCTGTCAAGGGAGTTGATGGAATGATTGACTTGGAAAATTAGTTTTTAGATGAATAAGAACATTTCTTTGCGCCGTTCTTTGATGCAAAATGTGATGTTTTGAAAGTTCTCAATTCTCTATTCTTCTCATGTTTGCTTGCTGTCCCGGAGGATTAGTTTTCAATTGTATGTATCAAAATCGAAGTTTTTCGTTGAATCGATTTGAGTCCCGTTAAGAGGTGAAATAAACTTTTCCTGTATAGGATCGAATGAATTTTGCATGTTATGATATTGTAGATACGACTTAAAATCAAAGCGTCAAATCTCGTTGGCAGCACTTAACCCTCCGTTACTCGCGCTGTAGTACTTTGTACGAGCAACGAGCATTCCTCAAAAAACTTGTTTTGATCTAAACAAGCTAAACTTTGATTACAGTAAACACCTAAAAATGCGAATAATAGGAAAAATGTAAATGGAAACCGCGTAAAATGTGACCATACTACGTGGGATTTGACTTAATTGATTACAACATGGAATATATCGAGATCCTGACCAGATAAAAAGTTACTGTCTCCGACAAAATTGATCAGGAGATCATAGCCTTGTCGCTGGCAGATAGTAGTTCTGAATTTTCTCACTACGTAGCGCTAGTATACATGTGAAATTCTCGCATATGATATATCTCGAGATCCTAAACAGATAGAAAGTTACTGTCTTTTACAAAGTTTTTCAGGAGGTCAAAGCCTATTGCTTGGTGCTCAAAAGTTCAGAATTTGCTCACTACGCGACGCTAGTATACACGTGAAATTCTCATATAAAATATCTCGAGTTCCCAACCAGATAGAAAGGTACTGTCTTCGGCATAGTTGTTCAGGATGGCAAGGCTTTTTCGCAGGTGGACAGTAGTTCAGAGTTTTCTCACATATAAAATATTTCTAAATCCTGACCAGATAGAAAGTAAATGTATTCGGCAAAGTTTTTCAGGAAGTCAAGATCTTTTTGTTGTGTGACAGTAGTTCAGAATTTACCCACTATGCGGCGCTAGTATATACGTGCCTTTCTCGCATATTCAATAGCTCGAGATCTTGATCAGCTAGAAAGTTGATGTCTTCGGCAAAGTTGCTTAGGGGGTCAAGACTTTTTGGCTGGTAAACAGTAGTTAAGAATTTTCTCACCACGTGGCGTTAGTATACATGTACACTTCTCGCATATGCTATATCTCGAGATCCTGATCAGATAGAAAGTTACTGACTACGACAAAGTTGTTCAGGAGGTCAAAGTCTTTTGGCTGGTGGACAGTAGTTCAGAATTTTCTCACTTCATGGTGCTAGTATGCATGTGAAATTCTCGCATATAAAATATCTCAAGTTCTTGGCCAGATAGAAAATTACTGTCGTCAGCAAAGTTGTTCAGGATATTTCAGGACAAAATTTTCAATCGTGGACAGTCGTTCAAAATTTTCTCACTACGTAGCGCTTATCAAGTAACAATTTTGGTTATATGAGGATTCTGTAGACCATGATTTAGACTTGTAGAATGCTATAAAACCGCGATAAAACCTGCAATGTTACTTGAGCAGTGAAATGTGAAATTCTCGCCTGGGATAGATCTCGTGATCCTAACCAGATAGAAAGTTACTGTTTTGAACAAAGTTGGTTAAAGCCTATTTTTTGGTGCACAATGCTTCAGAATTTTGTCTCTACGCAGCGCTAGTATACACGTGAAATTTTCACGTATAAAATATCTCGTGATCCTGACCAAATAGAAAGTTACTGTCTTCGGCAAAGTTGTTCAGGAGGTCATGGTCTTTTGGCTGGTGAAAAGTAGTTCAGAATTTTCTCACTGCGCTGCGCTAGTTTACACGTGAAATCCTCATATATTACCTTACCTTACCAATCAGGCTAAGGCCTTGTTGTCCTCTGCTGTCCGAAGAAGTCGTCTCCACTCTACTCGATCCATGGCCACAGTTCACCAGCCCCGTAGTCTGCGAAGGGTCCGCAGGTCACCTTCTACTTGGTCGATCCACCTTGCCCGCTGCGCGCCTCTTCTTCTTGTTCCTGTTGGGTCGCTTTCTAGAACCATTTTCACTGGGTCGTCGTGCGGCATTCTTACGACGTGCCCAGCCCACCGTAGTCGCCCAATTTTTGCAATGTGGACGATGGATGGTTCTCCCAGCAGCTGGTGCAATTCGTGGTTCATTCGCCTCCTCCACGTTCCGTCATCCATCTGCACTCCAGCGTAGATGGTACGCAACACCTTCCGTTCGAAAACACCAAGGGCGCGTTGTTCCTCCACGAGCATAGTCCAGGTCTCGTGGCCGTAGAGGACCACCGGTCTAATCAGCGTCTTGTAGACAGTCAACTTCGTGCGGCGGCGAATTTTATTCGACCGGAGCGTCCTCCGGAGTCCAAAGTAGGCACGATTCCCTGCCATAATGTGTCTTTGAATTTCTCTGCTGGTATCATTTTCGGCGGTCACCAGTGAGCCCAAATACACGAACTCATCGATCACCTCGATTTCGTCACCGTCAATCTGAACTCGGAGTGGGAGGCTAACATTGTCTTCCCTAGAACCTTTTCCTTTCATGTATTTTGTCTTTGATGCGTTGATGGCAAGTCCAATCCGTCTAGCTTCAGCCTTCAGTCTGATGTACGTTTCCGCCATCATCTCAAAGTTCCGTGCCATAATGTCAATGTCATCGGCGAATCCAAGGAACTGGATAGACTTCCTGAATATCGTGCCACTCGTGTCTATCCCAGCTCTTCTGATCACACCTTCTAACGCGATGTTGAACAGCAGACACGAAAGTCCATCACCCTGCCGTAACCCCCTTCGATATTCAAAGGGACTCGAGAGTGTCCCCGATACTCGAACAACGCACATCACTCGATCCATCGTCGCCTTGACCAATCGCGTCAGTTTATCCGGAAGTCCGTACTCGTGCATAATCTGCCATAGCTGATCTCGATCGATTGTGTCGTATGCGGATTTGAAATCGATGAACAAATGATGTGTAGGCACGTTGTATTCGCGGCATTTCTGCAGAACCTGCCGAATCGCGAAAATTTGGTCCGTGGTAGCGCTGGCACCCATGAATCCCGCCTGGTATTGCCCCACGAACTCTCTTGCATATGGTGACAGACGGCGGCATAGAATTTGGGAGAGTACCTTGTAGGCGGCGCTCAGCAGTGTGATCGCGCGGTAGTTGCAGCAATCCAACTTGTCGCCTTTTTGTAGATTGGGCATACGACACCTTCCATCCACTCCTCCGGTAATATCTCATCCTCCCAAATCTTGGCAATTACCCAGTGCAGCGCTCTAGCCAGTGCTTCACCACCGTATTTTAATAGCTCACTTGGTAGTTGATCTACACCAGTTGCTTTGTTGTTCTTCAGCCGACCGATCTCTTCTTCAACTTCTTGAAGATCAGGGACCGGTAGCCTGTCGTCTTCTGCGCGTGCTCCAAGGTCTGTTGCCGTGCCACCTTCGTAGTGGTCCGAATCTATGTTCGCACTGCGGTACGTGCGGACGTTGATAATGTCGGAGAAGAATTTCCCGTCGATTAGAACGTGATCGATTTGGTTTTCTGTGTGTTGGTCAGGTGATCTCCAGGTGGCTTTGTGGATATCCTTGCGGGGGAAAAAGGTACTTCGAACTACCATACCCTGGGAGGCTGCAAAGTTCACGCATCGTTGGCCGTTGTCGTTCGATACGGCATGCAGGCTGTTTGGCCCGATTGCCCGTCTATACATTGCCTCCCGTCCTACCTGAGCGTTCATGTCTCCGATGACGATTTTGACGTCCCGTTGCGAACAGCCGTCGTACACCTGCTCCAGCTGCGCATAGAACGCTTCTTTCTCGTCGTCGGGTCTCCCTTCGTGTGGGCAGTGCACGTTGATGATGCTGTAGTTGAAGAAACGGCCCTTAATCCTCAACTTGCACATCCTCGCGTTGATCGGCTGCCAACCAATCACGCGTTGGCGCATCTTACCCAGCACTACAAAGCCGGTTCCCAGCTCGTAGGTGGTGCCACAGCTCTGGTAGAAAGTAGCCGCTCGATGAACGCTTTTCCATACCTTTTGTCCCGTCCAGCAAAGTTCCTGCAGTGCTACGACTTCGAAGTTGCGTGGTTGAAGTTCGTCATAGATTAACCTATCGCAACCCGGGAAGCCGAATGATTTGCAGTTCCATGTTACGAGTTTCCAATCGTAGTCCTTATTTCGTCGCGTAGGTCTGTGCCGATTGTTCCGATCCTTCC